TAGACTTACTTGTTTCCTTCCCAGTCCCCTCTCGTACATATAACCGAGGTTGAATTTTGCTTGGGCACTACCGTGCTGCTCGTGAGCGACATCGTAGTGAAATGCTGCTGTCTCATAATTCACATTCGTCCCTTGACCGTAGAAATGGTAATCTCCCACCTTCACCCGAGCTCCCACATTGCCTAGAAATAAACACTTTAAAATACACTCTCTTCAACAACCACTTGGCCTGCGGGCAGTCCCAGCTATGAGTCCCAGAATACGAGTTTGCGCACGCGCTTACATTAATACTAATGCTATTGTACACGTACTGAATCACGTTGATGTGGTGTTTGCAGTAGCTCAAAACCTAGGAGTACAGTACATTTCATACCTTGTTCGGCTGCTCTAGTCCAGTAAAGCAACGCCCTTGGGTACGTGTAGTTGTCTGACATCACAGTATTCTGTTCTAAAAGTTAACAAGATAAACTTCGGTCTTCGTGACCAACAGAAGTAGCAGTGGAAAGACATGTGACAAAAGGACACGCGATATATCTCTTCATATAAAATAAAGAACGTTACACTGCCCAATGGCAAATGGTATCTACGGAAATACTTTCTCGAACAGTCAGTGCCAGTGCAAGTAGAGATGATAACAGACAGCTGAGGCACAGAATAAAGACACACAGATGGACGACTCAGCCAAAAAAGCGTAACCGCTGCCACGCCATGATTCGTCATCAAAATGCTGACGCCATGGTCCTAGCCAGTGCGCTTATGAGAGGCATTCCCCCTGGACGTCCGTCATTTTGAATACTATCAGGGGGGGGTGAACTTCGTCGGGAAGTTAGTAGCTCTGACTTCTACTGGATCATTTTCGGTATAAATTTGACAAGCAACTTCCCGACCAAAGGCCATCCCTGGAAACGTCCAAGTTGTGCTTATATCCCCCAGGCATACAACTGTATCCCTCACACCGCGCATCTTTCTACGGAAATTCTTTAACGTTACATGAAAATGTCGTATACCTTGGTCAAGTATAAAAGCCACATTGCTCTGTGCTGCTTCATAACCTAACTCCGCTAGATAGGCATACTTAAGCAAGGCTTGGTTAGTATAGCCAGATTTGTAAGCTTTATGCGCATCCATAAGCATTGATGACCATCGACCGCGTTCAGCAACGTTCTTGAAAAGCTGAAAAATATCATACATTCATTTCAATCTCGTACCCAGAGCCATCGATGGCTCTGGGTACGAGATTGTCTTGGCTCAACCTCGTACTCAGGGTCTTTTCTCCTGGGGAGCAAAGACCCTGGTAGACGCTGGTCACGTGATCTGCTAAAATCTAGCAGATTTTTAATTAGCAATCCAAGATCAGGTCAATAAACATTTGATATTTAGAATATTTTGATAGTTTAATCTATAATTTGCATTTTGTATGATTGTCGTAAAGAAAACCAAGATAGTTAATTAGAAATCTGCTAGATTTTAGCAGATCACGTGACCAGCGTCTACCAGAGTCTTTGCTCCCCAAGACGAAAGAGTCTGGGTACGAGGTTGATCTTGGCTTCGCTATTCTCATACAGGCCGAATGACAAAATACTGTACTGTATACAGATAATACATCTTGACGGACGAATAACTCACTAGCCATAGTGCTTTGTAGAGATTTCAAAAACTCATTAATAATTCATGAAGCAATTATCCAATCTTGAGTAAGAAATTAGTCATGTGCATACGTCTTTATACCAGCTAAAGAACACTTTAACAAAAGACCATTGTTATGCAAACTATATAAAGGTTTTTATATAAAGATTTTTATATAAAGGTTTTTATATAAAGATTTTTATATAAAGATTTGACTTATTATGCATACGTTTTTGAAGTCATTTAAAAAACTCACGGGTCGTGTTTTATTAGGTCTAAAGCCACTCGCGCTGCGCGCTCGTGGCTTTAAACCTAATAAAACACTCCTGCTCGTTTTTTAAATAGTACTTCGAGCACTGATAAAACTGATAATCTCACATGTGAGATTATTTATGATAATTTCACATGTGAAAATTTTTTCAAAGACTGTCCTTTATATAAAAATTGATATAATAAACAGAAAAATACATGGGTGCTTGGAAATATTGCGCTCACTCGTGAGATATCACGATAACACTCGAAATAAATCTGTTATTTCCACGCACCCCATGTATGTAATGAACAAGCATTTAAAAAACTAAAACTATAAAGGTACCTCAGTCGCTGTTCGACAAGAGCGCACAATTCCAGTGCCAGATGAATACATTGTCCCCAAATAATAGATCGCTTGTATATTTCCTAAAGAAAAATAATATTTTATCGTAGTAGAGAAAAGGTTAGTGCTTATAGGGCGATGTCATACAGAGTTTACCTCAGCTGGAAAGTAGAAAACGCAAAATGGGAGTATGGATGTGTAGAAGCAAAGAGCAAGATATAAATACTTCAAGGCATTAGTTTTTGCTAGCCTAAAAATACCAGGATAC